CTGCTCCCCAAGCAGACGTACCTGAACGTGGAGGATGACGAGGGAAGCACCCTGGAGAGGAAGAGGAACATCATCTGCTGCCTCATCATCCAGATCCTGAAAGGGGAGAAGGAGCTGCACATCGATAACCTGGTGTTCAAGGTACGGGGGCCTGGCAGGCGAGCGGCCGCGCGGCTCCGCGCCCCGGCAGCCTCAGAGTAACTGCCCTCTCCCCCCAGGTGATCGACGCCTGTCAGAAATGGGAGTCTGGCCCTGCCCTGAAGTTCCTCAGCTTCTGCTGCAGCAGCACGGACGTGCTGTCCTGCACCCTGCACCTGCTGAGCCAGGGCTACGTGCGGCGCCAGGAGGACAACCCCCAGCTGCTGGAGTACGTCTCCACGGAGCCCACGCCCACGCCCTCCCCCTCCCCGCCCCAGCAGCGCCCGCCCCAGGTCACCTTCCAGACGGTGGAGATCAAGACGATGCCCAACACAGCCTGCGCCGAGAGGAGACAGACCTTCTCCACCTTCAGGTAGAAGCGGAGCGGGGCTGTGTGCGCGGGCCAGGCGGGCACGGACACTGCCCCGCGGCACTGCTCCCTGGGGTGCCAGAGCCCCACCCACAGGCAGTGCATTGGCTGCCTGGTGCTGGGGGTCTAGGCACGCCTGGGGCTCGAGCCAGGAGAGAAGTCCTGCCTGGGCCCAGCCACTGCCCCTGGAGCACAAGACACGATTCCCAAGGGCTTGAGGTTTTTAATTTAAATAAAACAGCTGTGCTGATCTGTGCCCTCCCTGTGCTGATCTGTGCCCGCAGCCCTGGGCCCTACGAGGGAACGGCAGAACTGGCATCTCACCCCCAGTGTGCAGGGGCTTGGGCACAGCTGGAGGTTATGGGGGGCTCCCTCCCTTGCTCTGGTGAGGCTGGTGCCAGCACCCCCATTAGGCTAGTGGCAGAATTGAGCCGTCCGGCTCCATTGGCAGCTCCTGATTCTCCCATGTGCCTGGGGAGGGGGGAGTCAGCGTTGATGGCAAGTCCCTGGAGCTGGGCTTGGCAATCCTGGCCTCGAGGAGTGCCCCCGCCGACTGGCACCGTCTCCCAGGAGCTGCGTCCCGGGCAGCGCCTGGCCTCTGCAGCAGCCATCGCCATGCCCGGTTCGTAGGCCCCCAAGCCCCAGCGCCCGCCACGTGTGGGTTCTCGCCCACCAGAACGCAGCTGTGCGAGAGGCAGCAGCATTGGCCGTGGCTGAGGGGCTCTGCACCCCCTTCCCGCCCGGGGCCCAGCTGCACACACCCTGCACCCCTGTCACAGTGGTACCAGCATTAATTTATTAAAATTAATCCAGAAAAGCAACCATACAGTAAGTTTAAAAAAAATAGAATCTTGTAAAAAAAACAGGGTAACGGCCCCGCCGGCCGCCCAGGCCCCAGTTTGGGTCTCCGAGGGCAGGGAGCGGTTTGGCAGCATGAGGGGCTGGGCTGGGCTTGGAGTCTGCCAGGCGGAGGGCAGGAGTGTGAGATCAGCTGCAGTGCCAGGGCTGGGGGGCTGCCACACTCCTCGTGTGAACCTCATGCCAGCAGTGAATGGGAAAACACAGCCCGTGCCCAGGGTCCCCCCATCTGCAGCGGGTGGGCCTGCCCCTAGCATTTCTGGGCGGGGGCTGCAGCTCGGACTGACGGGTGGAGGCTCGGTGAAGGGCCGGGTGCTGGCTCCTGGCGCTGAGGGCACAGCTGGGCCAGCCCAGCTTTCTGCTCCCCCTGGCCAGTGCCTGCCCCCCAGGCTCGCTGCAGCACAGCTCCCCTAGCGCTGGGGCCCTGGAGCTGATGGTGGAGGAGGCCCCCACCTGCCACATTCGTGGCTTCCTACCTGCAGCGCTAGGAGAACCTCAGCTTGGCCACAGGCTGCAGCTCCAGCAGGGGGCGGCAGGGGGGCTGGGCCCAGGTCTAGGGGCTGCTGCAGGGCCTCGAGCAAGGGGTGACAGCCCCTAACCGAAACAGCAGGGTGGGGCAGAGACCCCTCAACTGCCTGGAGCTGCCAGTGGGGCCCTGGAGCTGCCGAAAGGGGGTGACTGAGTTAGGCCCTGGCCAGAGGGTGCCACTGGCTGAGCTACCCCCCGGCGCGAGCCAGAGCAGCCTGGTCTGCTGGTGCAGCACCAGTAAGACGCCCTCAAGCAGCTCCCAGTCCCCCTCCCTTCCCTGGGGTGGCCCCTGCCAGTGGGAGGCTGGCCTGGGGGGCAGCAGCGCTGGAAGCCACGTGGATCCCCTGTGGCACCAGTTCGAGCTGCATGTTAAAAGCCCCCTGGGGGAAAGAAACCGAGTGGGAACAGCCAGGGCCTGGAGCGGGACCCAGCAGAAGGGACAGGCCATGGCCATCGCTGTCTCCTGCCACACTCAGCAGAGTCCCGGCTCCCAGGCCGCCCGGCTGGCTCATACGCTCTTCGAGTAGCCAAAGATGCCCACGGGGAGATGCTTGACGTGTGTTGGCCACTGCGCTGCTAGCTGGAAAAACTTCACGTCGTTCCACTCCACGCCGTCGATGGACACTGAGAGGAGAGAGCAGAGCGCCAAACGTAAGAACGGCCACGCTGGGTCAGACCAAAGGCCCATCTAGCCCAGTGTCCTGTCTTACGACAGCGGCCAATGCCAGGTGCCCCAGAGGGAATGAACAGAACCGGGAATTGTCAAGTGATCCAGCGTCTGGCAAACAGAGGCTAGGGACACCATCCCTGCCTATCCCGGCTAATAGCCATTGATGGACCTGTCCTCCATGAACTTATCTAGTTCTTTTTTGAACCCTGTTATAGTCTTGGCCTTCACAACATCCCCTGGCAAAGAGTTCCATGGGTTGACTGTACATTGTGTGAAGAAATAATTCCTTTTGTTTTAAACCTGCTGCCTATTAATTTCATTTGGTGACCCCTGGTGACCCCTCGTTCTTGTGTTAAGAGGAGTAAATAGCACTTCCTTATTTACTTTCTCCACACCAGTCATGAGTTTATAGACCTCTGTCAGATCCCCCCGAGTCGTCTCTTTTCCAAACTGAAAAGTCCCCGTCTTATTAATCTCTTCTCATATGGCAGCCGTTCCAAACCCCTAATCATTTTTATTGCCCTTTTCTGAACCTTTTCCAAATCCAATAGATCTTTTTAGTGATGGGGCGACCACATCTGCAGGCAGTGTTCAAGATAAATTAAATTAATGGAGATATCCCATCTCCTAGAACTGGAAGGGACCTTGAAAGGTCATTGAGTCCAGCCCCCTGCCTTCACTAGCAGGACCAAGTACTGATTTTGCCCCAGATCCCTAAGTGGCCCCCTCAAGGATTGAACTCACATCCCTGGATTGAGCAGGCCAATGCTCAAACCACTGAGCTATCCCTCCCCCCCTGTGAGCGTACCATGGATTTATACAGAGGCAATAGGGTATTTTCTGTCTTATCATCTATCCCTTTCTTAATGGTGCCCAACGTTCTGGTCGCTGTGCTCAGAGCGCACATGCAGTTCAGCTGTGCGGGGCAGGGCTGTGTGTGCATGTCCAGCTCACCCCCCCCAGAGCTGGGCCGGGGGAGGGAGAGACTCTGGCAGAGCTCAGCCAGCCCCCGCTGCAGCCTGCCGGTGTCCGAGTGGTGGGGCAGAGCTGTTGGCCTGGCTGGCTCTCTGGAGGGGTGTGGCATGGTGCTGGGCCGCCCTCACCTCGGAGCATGGTGTTCTGGTGCTTAGCCGTACAGATCAGGCGCGTAATCCCTTCGATGACTTGGCTTTTGGGCTCCAGGTCCTTCTCCTTGGGTTTCTTACTCAGGAACATCACTGGGAGGAGAAAGCAAAGACTCCTAGTGCCAGCCCTGGCAGGGGAGCCAGGCTGGGACTCTCCGCCCCCTCCAGGCCCTGCCTGGGCCTTTGCCAGCCGTTACCTTTCTTGTTCTTCTCCTTGGTGACCACGGTCATGGCCATGGTGCTGGGGGGGACCAGCTCCCCGGCGCTGGGCACGCGGCTGACCTGCAGCGAGCGGAAGTTGCTCTTCAGTGTGTTCTTCAAGCCCATCTCCCGCTTCTCTCCCTCCTTCTTCTTCTCCGGCCCCTGGCTTGTCCAGTAGTCGACCTGCAGGCCCATCACCTCCACGCCGGGGCTCAGGGACCTGGGCAACAGACACAGCAACATAGCCCCAGCCACACTCTGCCCCTCAGGGCTGGGCCTAGCCACCCCCTCCCTGTACCAGCGTCCCTCCGGATCCAGCCCCATTCGGGTCTCCCGCTGCCCCACAGCCAGCTCTAGCCCCTCCTCCCCATGGGCATCACCCATGTGGCCCAAGGGGCATGGGAACATCACCCGCAATCTCCGCTTTCATTTAACAACCAGAGAGTCTCGGGCCCAGGGGCTGGGGGTGTGTGGCACAGCCCCCGCCCCTCACTGCCTGGCAGTGCATACCCCACACGGTGCAGCATGGGCCCCCTCCCTTCTGGGCCAGGGGCCGCAGAGGAGGCTGAACATGCCAGGCGGGCTGGGACAGAGCAGTGTGGAGGGAAACGGTTAACAAGCCTGCGGACATTAACCCTACTCCGGCCTCCCTCCAGTCCCCCTGGCGGAGCCTCACCCAGCCCCCGAGAGGCCGCTGCTGACAGACGGGGAGGGCGGTGGGGTGCCCATGGCCTCCTTGCTGTGGGGGGTCCCTGCGCTGGCTGGAGGTGCGGAGCTCAGCAGGGAACTGGTGCAGACCGTGGCGTCATCAGAGTCCACTAGCAAGAGGGAAAGGCAGGGCCAAGTTAGAGGGATATAGGGGGGGCTGAGCCGGGGGGGGGGTATCCCCAGGGCAGCAGTGGGGCTGCTCTGGGGCTGAGGGCCATGACACCCCCTTGCCTTTGGCTCTGTGCTGGGGCAGGATGGGCACTCGCAGTCCTGGGGCCCTGGCCCTGAGGGGTGTAGATGGGACCTTCCCGGCTCCCTTGGCCAGCCGAGGCTGCAGCAGGGCTTGGGGAGGGAGGGAGGGGGGCCCCTGGAAGGCTGCAGCCCCCTGGGGTTCCCCACCAGCGGGGTCCCTGCTGTCCCCGGTGGATCCTGGGGGGGAAGGGGGCGGAGGCAGAGCCAGGAGCAGTGAACCCCCCCCCACCTGCCCCCAGGCTGCAGGGTGGGCTCACCTGAGGCGCTGAAGGACTGTTCCACGAGCCCCACCTTCACCACCTGCAGACAGAGAGACGTTAGCCAACTCCCCTGGCCCTGCGGCCACACCCTGTGTCCATGCGCCTGGCAGGGCTGGCGTGCAGTGCCCCCCCCCATCAGACACTCACCCCAACAAATGGCACAAACTTCTGGCAGGAGTCGTCGTCTGGGCTAAGCGAGGGAAGAGGGGAAAGGTCAGACGGCAAACCCACCGCAGGGAGCTCGCGGCTGCCTTCGGGGCTGGCAGGGCCACGGGGCGCCAGGCCACTGGGCAGGGCCCTGCCGTGCCTTCAGGCTCGTGTTGCCACCTACGGGCCGAGCAAGGCTTTCTGCAGGGCCGTGCCTGGCGCTCCCGGCTGGCAGGGGGAGCCCCGAGTCATTCGCCACGTAGGGCAGTGCCCAGCCTGCCCCGCAGGCAGTACCCAGCCCCCCAGCTAGCAGGGGCAGCCCCCGAATCATTCGCCACATAGGGCAGTGCCCAGCCCTCCCGGCTGGCAGGGGGAGCCCCCGAATCATTCGCCACATAGGGCAGTGCCCAGCCCTCCCGGCTGGCAGGAGCAGCCCCCGAGTCGTTCACCCCAGCGGGAGCAGAGCACTGTGGGGCTGGAGCGTCCCCGCTCTCCTGGGGCCAGGCTGGGTCCCCTCCATGCACAGCACCCGCCCGACGCTGCAGCCCAGGCTCAGGCGCGTAGGGAGGGCAGGGGAGGAGCAAGATAGCGACAAACAGGGAGCAGCGCAGAGGGGCTGCAGGGAAGGGAGGTCACATGCAAAGCTCCTGGCCCGGGCCCTGCTCTGGGGCCGCAGGGCAGAGGGGAGCCCGAGGGGCGGGCAGGGGCACTGGTTCTATTCCAGACACAGATGGGCCGGAGGGACACGCAACGAGGCGACAGCGCAGCAAGCCACGGGCCAGTACCTGATATAAAAATCAAAATAGAGGCTTCTCTTCCTTGGGTGCCACAAACCAAGAGAAGGGAGAGGTGAGCGCGCTGCTGGGACGCGCCCTGACAGCCGGGCCCTGGCGGGCGCGGTGCCAGCCCCATGCACAGCCCCAGGGCCCAGCCCACTCCCCAGGGGCAAGACAGCTCCAGGGCCCATTCAAGGGGCTGACCCCTGCACCCCTCCCCAACCCCACCAGCACAGACGGCGTGAAAAGGGCCTTGGTACCTCCCAGTGCTCTGCCCAGGGGCTAGCATTGCCCCTCATGCCCGACCTGCAGCCCCCTGCTCCCCCCAGCTCTGCCTGTGCCCCTCATGCCGGACCTGCAGCCCCCTGCTCCCCCCAGCTCTGCCAGT